TGATAATTTTTGACTTTTTTGTAGACATGGGGTCCCACTAGTTGCCCAGGCTTGACTTGAACCCCTGGGTTCAAGCTGTCCTCCCACCCTGGTCTCCCAAAGTGTTGGGATTACAGGTGTGAGCCACTGCATCTGGCCAGACACACCATTTTAAACGTCTCTAAACTTTAGTATTTTTTATCCGTAACATGAGACTCCATCAGTGGATTAGTCAGAGTTCTCCAAAGAAACATACTGGGTTGTGTACGTGTGTGTGTGCATGCACATGTGTGTCTCTGTGTGTGTGTGTATGTATGTGTGTGTGTGTGTGTGTGTGTGTTTGTGTGTGTGAAGTGAGGGAGAATTCACCCTTGCTCTGCCATTGTGTTTAATTTGAGACTTGGAAGGATTGGATGCTGCCCACCCGTTGATGGGGATGGACCTTCTTTTACTCTGCTGATTGAAATGCTAATCTGTTCTGGAAATACCCTCACAGACACCCAGAAATAATATTTTATCAGCTGTCTGTGCATTCAGGAGCCTATCGACACATAGAATTAACAATCACAGTCAGTAAGGATAAACTAAGTTATACTGTATATTAAAATCGCCTCCAAAATGTCAGTGGCTTATAACAACAAAAATTTATTTCTCGCTCATGTTACGCACCCGTTATATACTGGCTGAAGCTCTGTTTGCGTTTTCTCCACTTCAGAACTTATATGGAATGAGGGAGGAAAAGAGACTGAGGGAACCACTGGTTTGGTTTTTTTTGTTTTTGTTTTGAGACAAAGTCTCACTCTGTCACCAGGCGGGACTGCAGCGGCGCGATCTCAGCTCCCTGCAACCTCCGCCTCCCAGGTTCAAGCGATTCTCCCACCCCAGCCTCCCGAGTAGCTGGGACTACAGGCATGCACCACCATGCCCACCTAATTTTTTTGCATTTTTAATTGAGATGGGGTTTCACCATGTTGCACTCCATCCTGGGCGACAGAGCAAGACTCTGTCTCAAAATTAAAAAAATAAACACAGATATTAGTTGAAAATAAATGTGTTTGTGTGTGTAATTATGACTCTGACCATTTTATCATCAGTATCAAGATGTATATTTTCGTCTTTATATTGTGAAGCCTGACGACTGGCTCTGACACTGAGAAGAAGTGGTCATGGTAAGCGGACGTGAAGTCCTTTTACATTTCTGTGAACGCTAATTAGAACAGATGTTTTGTCTCAACCTGTTTTAACACGAGACTGAAAATGTTAACTCTGTGCAGTTTAGAAGAGAATTTTCTGTTGTAATTAAGTTATAGATCAATTGTAAATTAGAATCTGTTTACAACATCCAATCCTTGTCATTTGGGTCATAAGAACTGGAAATTTTCCCTTCTTGCGCTCCCTCAGTCACTTTCTGATGCTATTAATGAAAATTTATTATTAAATTGCTAGAGTAAATATAGGTACTGGTAATTCGCTCAGTAGCTGTTACAGTGCCATTAATGAAGTAATGGATGAAATATGTCCCTGGTACTATTCTATCTTATATGACTTGGTAAGTGTTGGAGTCAGGATTTCCTAGAACACTGGCGCTGGTGTTTTGAACATTGCCTAGAAGTTTTTGTAGGACTTATGCCAAAATAACGGTATTGATTAACTGGGACATTTAAATGTTCAGTCATTTATACGTTCAACTATAATAAGTATCTGGGGCCAGGAATGGAGCAAGGGAATAGGGAAATGAACATAAACAAGATATACCCGTGGGACACGAGGACCTACGGTTTAATTGCAGGATAGGGAGGTAAGTGCAAATACAAATCTATACAGTGTGCTTTGGCATGGAGAGTACAGCTATCAGCTGTCTAGAAAAAGACATAAAAAACGTAATATCGCGACAGCAGGGATGAAAGCATTATGCTAAGTGAAATAAGCCGGATACAAAAGAACAAATATTATGTGATTTCACTTGTAGTAGTTAAATTCATAGAGACAGAAAGTCAAATTGTGGTTATGAAAGGATTGGGGAGCAGTGAAAGGAGAGCTGTTTAATGGGTACGGAGCTTTGTTCTGGAGATGGATAGTGGATGACGGCTGTGCAACATTGACTGGACTTTAATGTCATGAAATTGCATATCTTAAAATGGTTAAAAATCAGTTAGGCTTGTTTTGCTATGTTGGTTCACACCTGTAATCCCAGCACTTTGGGAGGCCAAGGCAGGTAGGTCACTTGAGGTCATGAGTTTGAGACCAGCCTGACCAACATGGTGAAACCCCAGCTATACTAAAATACAAAAATTAGCTGGGCGTGGCTGTGGGTGCCTTGTAAGCCCAGCTACTCGAGAGGCTGAGGCAGGAGAATCGCGTGAACCCAGAGGCAGAGGTTGCAGTGAGCCAAGATGGGGCCGCTGCACTCTAGCCTGAGTGACAAAGCGATACTCCCTTTCAAAAAAAAAAAAAAAAACAGCCAGTCTTAGTGTCATGCACTTGTAGTCCCAGCTACTTGGGAAGTTGAGGTACATAGTTCTCTCAAGTTCAGGGGTTTGATTCCAGCCTGGGCAACGTAGCAAGACCCTGTCTATTAAATTTAAAAAAAAAAAGTTAAAAATGATAAATTTTATGTATATTTTATGACAACAGAGCAAAAAAAAGTTGGAATTGTTAAAAATATAATATTATCATTATTAGTCACATTCTCCTCATTTTAAGAGATTCTTAATTTTTTTAAGGAATGTTTATACTTTTCCCCCATCTTTTTTTTTTTTTTCCTTTTTTTTTGAGATACTCTGTCACCTAGGCTGGAATGCAGTGGCACAATCTTGGCTCACTGCAACCTCCATCTCTTGGGTTCAAGTGATTCTCGTGCCTTAGCATCCTGAATGGCTGAGATTACAGGTATGCACCACCATACCCAGCAAGTTTTTTTTGTGTGTGTGTGTGTGTACCCAGCAAGTTGTGTGTGTGTGTGTGTGTGTGTGTGTGTATTATTAGTAGAGATGAGGTTTCACTGTGTTGGCCAGGCTGGTCTCAAACTCCTGACTTCAAGTGATCATGCCTGCCTCAGCCTCCCAAAGTGCTGGAATTACTGGTGTAAGCCACCTCATCCAGCCCACTTTTCTCCTATTTTTTGTCTGTATTGTAATTTTTCTAATAACATCTTAAACGTAGCAGCTAATTTCTAGTGAAGATATGTCATTAGAATGCTTGTGTGAAAAAGCCAGGAAGTATGGGTGAAATGTGCTTTACCACCTCAGTCAAGCTAATATAATTCAGAACATCTGAAATAGGTTTGCATGAAATATTTAATAAATTCTAAATACCTGTGTTTTATTATTTAATTAAAATAAGACGGAGTGGTGGGCATGGTTGCCGATACCTGTAATATCAGCATTTTGGGAGGCCAAGGCAGGAGGATCACTTGAGCCCAGGAGTTCAAGACCAGCGAGCCTGGGCAACATAGGGAAACCCCGTCTCTGGAAAAAAATGTAAAAATTAGCCCGGCCTGGTGGCATGTGCTTGTCATTCAGCTACTCAAGAGGCTGAAGTGGGAGGATCACTTGAACCTAGGAGTCAAGGCTGCACTGAGCTGTGACTGCACTTTTACACTCCAGCCTGGGCAGCAGAGTGAGACTATCTGCAAAAACAAAGAATGAAAGAAATCCTTAGATGTTACAATATGGTTGACCCTTGAAACCAAGAAGTGAAAGAAGCTGGCCACGAAAGAAGTCACATATTATATGAACCTCTTTATATAAAGTGTCCAGAATAGGCAACTCTGTAGAGTTAGCAAGTAGACTAGTGGTTGTTTCAGAGCTAGGAGGAGGGTTCGTGAAATGAGGGAAAATGGGGGTGGCTGCTAACGGGTACAGGGTTTGTTTCAGGGAAGGAAAATGTTCTAAAATTAGTTTGTGGTCATGGTTTTACAATCCTGTGAATATGAAAAATGTTAATTTGTAGTTTGAGTGGATACATTGTATGGCATATGAATTATATCAAGCTATCTTTAAAACATTTAAAGGGAATCGGATAGTTTGTCTTTTTTGGAAAGTTTTTTTTTTTTTTTTCCTTTATCATGTCAATTAAATGAGCTGAAAGCCAAGGAGCAGTGTAGAGTTTAGCATTTTGAACTTGCATGTACTTTGCGACAAAGCTGTAATCGTAGAGGGCTTTCTGTTTGATAACTATCAGTGTGGACATAAATGCATCTGAATGCAAGTGTCAACATATTTTATAAACCCTCACATACTGAGTGATTTCATCCTTGCACGGGGGTCGTGCTAATCTCTGTATCGTTCCGATTTTAGTATATATGTTGCTGAGGCGAGCACATACCCAGTGACGTTGTTACGCTAGTTGTGTATATATTCAAAACTGGGTAGAATGTATTGATGAATTTGATGACCTAGGGCAATAAAAATGAAACTTAGCCATTCTTTTAAAAATGTGTCCATACATTGGGAGGCCGAGGCGGGTGGATCACGAGGTCAAGAGATCGAGACCATCCTGGTCAACACGGTGAAACCCCGTCTCTACTAAAACTACAAAAAATTAGCTGGGCATGGTGGCGCGTGCCTGTAATCCCAGCTACTCAGGAGGCTGAGGCAGGAGAATTGCCTGAACCCGGGAGGCGGAGGTTGCGGTGAGCCGAGATCGCGCCATTGCACTCCAGCCTGGGTAACAAGAGCGAAAAAAAAAAAAAAAAAAAAAAAAAAAAAAAAAAAAAAAAAAAAAAAAAAAAAAAAAAAAAAAAAAAAAAAAAAAAAATGTGTCCATACAGAGAACTGCTTTTTAAAATTAAGTCTGTTTTCATTCAGTTTATTTTTTTAATATATTTTAAGTTCAGAGAGAAAAACATTGAGATGATTATCACTTTGTAAGATGAGAACTCCATGTAATAGCACCAGATAGAAACACTGTTTTGTTGATCTGGCTAGCCATTCTCCAGTTCCTGCCTGTAAAATGGTTGATAGCTATATTTTAAGTAGCGTTGTTACATCAACCCTTCCATTATAAATGACCTTATAATAAAACAGATACTTTTTCCATGCTGACTGCTACCAGAGTTCCTCAACTGCTCCCCCTCCGTGTGTGCGCATACATGCCCACCGAATCTGCCCTTCCGCTCAGACTCACCCCGCTCAGAGCACGGAGCTGCCCATGGCTGCCCTTCTTTCATCAGCCCCAATTTGAGCTAAGTGCTTCTTTTTCCCTTGGTAAACCTGAGACTCTTCCCATCACTTGTAAGTTACTTTCATAAGAAAATGTACTGTGGGCTGGGAGCAGTGATTCACACCTGTAATCCCAACACTTTGGGAGTCCAAGCCGGGGGGATCGCCTGAGGTCAGGAGATCGAAATCAGCCTGGGCAATATGGTGAAACCTTGTCTCTACTAATGTACAAAAATTAGCTGGGTGTGGTGGCAGGCACCTGTAATCCCAGCTACTCTGGAGGCTGAGGCAGGAGAATGGCTTGAATCCAGGAGGTGAAGGTTGCAGTGAGCCAGATTGCGCCAGAAGGAAAGAGAGAGAGAGAGAGAGAGGCAGAGAGAGAGGGAGGGATGGAGGGAAGGAGGGAAGGAAAGAAGGAAGGGAGAGAGGGAGGGAGGGAAGGAGGGAGGGAGGGAGGGATGAGAGAAAGAAATTGTACTGTAATTTCAGTCTCAAGCTTCAGCATACCTTTAGAAATATAATCCATGATGGGGCTGCCTTTATTTAAAGTGTCTTGGTTTTTGCAGGCGTACCTCAGAGATAGTGCAGGTTAGGTTCCAGACCTCTGCAAAATAGCAGATATCACCATAAAGCAAGTTACAAGAATTTTTTGGTTTCCCAGTATATATAAAAGTTATATTTATACTATATTATAGTCCAGTAAGTATACAGTAGCATTATGTATAAAAAAATACATACCTTATTTAAAATACTTTATTGCTGAAAATGGGCCTTCAGCGAGTTACTGTCTTCTTGCTTGTGATGGGTTTTGCCAGTGTTGATGACTGTGGACTCATCAGAGCGGTGACTACTGAAGGTTAAGAAAGTAGCTGCAGCAGTGGAACTTCTCTTAAAATTGGAGTCAGCCCTCTCAAACTCTGCTTTATCAACTACATTTATGTAATATCCTCAGTGCTTTGTTGTCATTTCAAGAGTGTTCACAGCATCTTCAACAGGAATGCATTCCATCTCGAAACCACTTTCTTTGCTCATCCATAAGAAACAATTCATCATCTGTTCAAGTTTGGTGATGAGATTGCAGCAATTCCATCACATCTTCAGGCTCCATTTGTAATTCTAGTTGTTTTCCTGCTTCTATCACATCTGAAGTTACTTCCTCCATTGAAGTCTTGAACCCCTCAAAGTGATCCATGAGGGATGAAATCAGTATCTTCCAAACTCCTGTTTATATTGATATTTTGTTCTCCTCCCATGAATCACGAATGTTCTTAGTGGCATCTAGAAGGACGAGTCCTTTCCAGAGGCTTTTAATTTACTTTACCTAGATTCGTCAGAGGAATCACTAAGGCAGTAACTGCCTTACAAAAATGTATTTCTTATATAATGAACTTGAAAGTTGAAATTACTCCTTGATCCATGGACTGCAGAATGGATGTTGTGTGTTAGCAGGCACGAAATCAATATTAATCTCTTTTTTTTTTTTTTTTGAGATGGAGTTTCACTCACGTTACCCAGGCTGGAGTGCAATGGCGCGATCTCGGCTCACCGCAACCTCCGCCTCCTGGGTTCAGGCAATTCTCCTGCCTCAGCCTCCTGAGTAGCTGGGATTACAGGCACGCACCACCATGCCCAGCTAATTTTTTGTATTTTTAGTAGAGACGGGGTTTCACCATGTTGACCAGGATGGTCTCGATCTCTTGACCTCGTGATCCACCCGCCTTGGCCTCCCAAAGTGCTGGGATTACAGGCTTGAGCCACCGCACCCGGCCTCTCTTTTTACACACTGATCAGAGCTCTTAGATGACCAGGTGCGTTGTCCATGAGCAGTAAAGGAAAGGAATCTTTTTTTCCAGAGCAGTAGGTCTCAATAGTGGGCTTTAAATATCCAGTAAACCATGCTGTCAACACATGTGCCCTCACCAGGCTTTGGTGTTCCACGTATAGAACACAAACAGAGTCAATTTGTTGCAATTCTTGAGGGCTCTAGAATTTTCTGAATAGTAAATGAGAATTGGTTTCAACTTAGCCACCAGCTGCATTATCCCCTCACGAGAGAATCACTCTTTCTGTTCTCTGAAGCTTTGAAGCGAGACTTCAAAGCCTTTTGTATTGACTTCTCCAGCTATCAAAGTCCTAGATGCCGCCATTTTTTAATAGAAGGCTGTTTTGTCTACATTGAAAGTCTGTGGTTTGGCATAGCCACCTTCATCAGTGATCTTAGCTAAGTCTTCTGGATGATTTACTATAGCTTCTACTTCAGCACTTGCCGATTCACTTTGCGCTTTTATGTTATGGAAACATTGTTCCTTAAACCTCGTGAACCAGCCTCTTGTAGCTTCAAACTTCCTCTGTAGTGTCCTCACTTCATTCAGCCTTCATAAAATGGAAAAGAGTTAGAGCCTTGCTCTGGGTTAGGTTTGAGTTTCAGGAAACACTGTGAGTGATTGGATCATCTACCCAGACTTCTCCATATCAGCAATAAGGCTGTTTGTCCTTCCCACCATTTGTGAGTTCTCTGGAGTAGCACTTTTAATTTCCTTCAAGAACTTTTCCTTTGCATTCATAACGTGGCTGACTACTCCATGCAAGAGGCCTTAAACTTGTCTCAGCCTTTGACGTGCCTTCCCCACTAAGCTTAATGCTAGATAGCTTTTCATTTACAGTGAGAAACGTGGGACTTTTCCATTTACTGGAATATTTAAAGGCCTTTGTCAGGTTATTAACTGACCTAATTTCAATATTGTGTCTCAGAGGACAGGGAGGCCCAAGACAGGAAAAGGGCCGATTGGAAGAGCAGTCAGAACACACACAACATTTATTGATTAAATCTGCCCTTTTATATGGGCATGGTTTGTGGCACCCCAAAATAATGACAAGAGTAACATCAGAGATCACTGATCACAGATCATAGTAACAGATATAATAATAATTTTTAAAATCTGAAATATTGCAAGAATTACCAAAATGTGACACAGAGCTACAAAGTGAGCGCATGTGTTGAAAACATTTGCCAGTGCACGTGCTTGACGCAGGGTTGCCACAGACCTTCAATTTTGTAAGAAGTACAATCTTTGGGAAGCACAGTAAAATGAGGTGTGCCTGTACTACACGTAATGACTCATTTGTTCCAGAAATTAAGGCAGGCTGATTAAATGCTTGTTTACCTTGTTGAATGTATGTTTGTTTACCTGGTTGAGCCAAAGTGAAATATTCCTAAATGAAAGTTTGTCTTCCTGTTGAAATTACAGTTTACACCTCTTTTCGTGTGTGTTGATGTAGTTGTAACCCACATCTGTATTTAAATGTTTAGGGGTGTGCTTAGCACAGTATAAGTAGAGATCCAGAGGGAAGAGTAAAATATAATTCCTGGCTTTATAAAGCTTTCAGTTCTGGAGATTCATTATCATATTGCCAAGAAGAACTAAGTAAAGACTTTGGTAACACCAGGAACTGGTTGCTGAGTAGTCATAAAGGCAGAAGTTTTTGAAAGGTGAAGAGAGCACAGATTATCCTAAACCAAGAGTGCTGAGCAAGAAGAGGAATGGAAGAAAAAGCAAAACGAAAATATGTCCTTTGTCTCCTTGGTTATATTAATCTCTGTTAAGTCATGATTCTCTTAGCGGCAGAAGCACAGACTTTAATTAAGGGGCAAGTGTATTTTTATTTTGTGTTCTGGCAGTATTAAGTTGCAAGGTCTGTAGTATGAAGCTAAAGATAATTGCTAGTGGGAAGGTTTATTTTGAGAAGCATGGGGGAGGCGAGGGGAAACCACCACATTTATCCTACTTGTGTGCTGTTAGCATTGTAACTTGTAAATTGGCGTACTGTAGCAGTGCAGAGTTTCATCTCGTGCTATATCCAGTTTGTAGTAGGAGGTCACCCTGAGTGTTTCCAAGAGAAACTGCACTACCCTCTCTGGCCCCGAGTCATGTTTGCTGGTAAACCCCTTTCAAATCAGTCCCAGTTACTTCTCCTTCACTTGCTAGTTTGAGAACTAACTCATCAAGAAGCTGTTTTACTTACTGATGGGCTCCCTGGAATCCATGTAAAATTGTGTTACCGGGTACTTAAAATACTTGCCAAAAGACAAGTATTAAAAAATTAGATGATTTACATATGGAGGGCTTACTTTTATAAGCACACACTGGATTATCTTAATTTA